TTTTTTTTAACATTTTTTTCTGTGTGTGGCTTTTTTGGTTTGTATTTTTTTTTTTTTTTAATAAATGAAGCTACTTTTGGGTGCTTGCTTATTCACAAAGGGTTGTCACAGTGGGTAGCTCAGCATGTTTGAGTTGGCACATTTTACATCAGATGCCCTTCCTGACACAACCCCAAAGGGATTCGTGTCTCCTGCTGGGATCGAACCAGGATATAAATGAATAATTAAATTAAACTGGGACTTGGTTATTTATTTTAACTTGCAATATTTCAGTTTTTGAAATGTTGTTTTTATTGTCAATAATGTCGCGATGCGCACTTACCGGCCATGCTAATACCAGGTTGGGCCCGTTTTTCCGTTCAGATCAGCTTTAATTCTTTCTGGCATAGATTCAGAAATGTTCTGGAACCATTCATCGGTCATGACAGCATCACACAGTTGCTGCTGATTTGAAATCTGGTGACTGACGACGAGTTCATTGATACTGAAGACGTAATTCATAATACTGTGTAGCCCGGTGTCATAAAGAAAGCCGTTTAAGATGATTTGAGCTTTGCTGACATGCAGTGTTAACCTGCTGGAAGCAGCAATCAGATCAAGGGATGGACACAGTCATCGCCAATACTCAGAGAGGCTCTGGCATTGGAAAAATGCTCAGCTGGTATAAAGATGTCCAAAATGTGCTAAGAAAATATGTCCGACAACATGAGACATTAGACGCTTTCATGTTGTTTAAGCCGATTCCTGATGGGTCCATTCAAATGTTACAGCAGAAACTGAGTCTCGTCAGACCAGGCAATGGTTTTCTAGTCTGTTTTCCAGTTGTGATGAATGGTAGCTGCAATTTCCTCTTCTTAATTGACTGGAGTGGTACCCAGTGTGTTCGTCTGCTGCTGTAGCTCATCTCTGACATCACCAAGACACTGTCACCCAGAAAGGTGGATCACTGGGTGCTTTCTCTTGTGCAGTGGTTGTTTAGGAAAATTCCAGAAGATCAACAGTTTCTGAAATATTCAAACCAACCCATGGTGCAAATAAGTAATATGTTGTATGATGAGTGTATATTGTGACACTAATATTTGGGAAGAACCATAAATTTTAATCTTCTTAGATAAAAAAAACAAACAAACATTGTGTCCAGGACTTTTTCAGCATTAAAAGTACATCCGATGTCCCTTCAGTGTCTGAATGTTTCTCCATGTAATGAAACAATCTGACAAATCAGTGCTTGGATTGATAAAAACAGGGAGGTTACAGCCTGACTCAATTGAGAAAATGTATGCGCATGAAAAAATATTTAGTTTAAGATCACTGCAGCTGCATCGTTTTCAAGCTACAAAATGGCATCACTTAAATTTTCAAAGTACATGACAAACGTTGACTGTTTGACAGTTAAGGTAAAAGGAAAGCACAAACTGACTGCGTATTTAGCTCAGTTCTGCGACATTAATTTGGTGAATCCTCTAATGTTTGCACATCGGCTGATATTTTCCAGGACGTTGTGGACACAAGTCGAAGCTTCAGTGGGCAGTTTTGCAGTTTGGCATCGCAAAGCAACAATGACTGTACACGGTGATTGTAGAACAATCCCCATTAATCATGTCGGTAAACTAAAAGGAAGCTAAATGCCTTCATCTTTGTGTGTGTTGGGGTGGGAGGCGGTAAAGAGGCTCAGTCACTGCTGATGAGCTCAGCTTTCTCTGGAGCAGCATTGATTCTCTGCCCTTTAGGAGAGTGCTCTTATCACAAACTGGAACTTAATTCCTAACTCGTTGTATTTAATGCTTTGGAAACTAACCAGCTATTGATAGCAAAATCTCTTAAGGGGTAATAATGTTGATAGCAATCCTAGCCATGTTGTCAGCTGGTTTAAAAAGGGAAAGCATCCTGCATCTTACCAGCTTAGTCTAGCTTCATTTGAGAAATATGAAGAAATTCTGTAAACAGGTTTAAAATAAAAGGCTCATTTCCAACTCTTTCATTTTATTCTTGGCCTCTACAGGAATAGTTTTACATAATTCAGAATTAATAGTAGTCTTTATTTATCCTACAGTCGGCCTTTGAATCAAGCCATTTTAGCTTCTCTTTCTTTAAACCAGCTTTCCTCTGATTGGCTGCCCCTCACAGCTAGTATTGACCATATTAGTGATATCTGCTCTCTGACATCATATATTGCTGATACTTTTTCGGAAAAAAAAAAATGAACTTGAGAATTTAGAGCACTCTGCAGCGTGGATTACACTAACTTCATTATTTGGCATGCTGGTTACGTTTAACGTTAGCACGCAACATCGCAATTATATACATGTGACAGAAAACTAAGAACCATAATAGTTGCCATTAATTTTCATTTCTTCTCATATCTTTTACAGTAAATAGCTGTTGCACTATTGCAACCACATAAAAAAATGTTATGAACTGCTGATAAATACTATAACTAACTGGAGGTATGTCTCTGTGGGTGAATAGTGAAGCTTGAAATACCCGTCAAGCCAATTACCGAAGTATAATTTCTTTATGTTTTTTCAGGCTTGAAGCTCTAGCCTACCCTTATATTTAACTAGAACTCATGTAATTCTACCAGTGAACCTTACCTAAATATACCGTACCAGGATTAAGGATGAGGAACAAAATAAGTTTTGACAAACACATTAATGCTGTCGTTAAAACTAGCTGCTTTTATCTCACAAAAGGGAAGCTAGTCCTCTGTTTCAGAGACTTTGAGAGAGCAGATGATGTTTTTATGTCATCTCGAGTTGATTATTGCAATAGTTTGCTTCAGGTGTCGGTTTGTCTCTGTTTAGCCGACTGCAGCTGGTCCAAAAACACTTCAGCACGGATATTAAAAGGCACATGCAAGTGAGATTATATATGCATGGCATGTGTTGGCACCTTTTTAAACTCTCTGATCATTTAAGTTTGCACACTTCCTCTATATCCCTGAGGTCTGTTGAGCGAACGCTAGCTGGCCCGAGGCCCAGAGGAGATCGGGCGTTTGCAGTTGCTGCTCCGAGACGGTGGAACAAAGTGCCCTTTCACATGTGGACGTCTCCAGCATTAGCCGCTTTTATTCTTCAGCAGAGTTCTGCATAGTTTTATTTGAGTTGTTTTACACAACTTTTCTCACTTTTATGTTTTCATTCTTAAACTCTGGTTAAATATTTGGATAAATAAGTGTGTTTCCATGTGGTAGCTGAGAATCAGGTGTTGCTGTTGTCATTTCTGGTGTGTTCGGTTTGACAGCACTACCCTGTCAAAGCTCACAAACCATGCAATGGAGTGGATACTGTACCACATGGAAGTGTGCTGAAAGTATCCACATTCATCTGATATTATTGTGTAAACATAATCATACAGTTTTGGGTAAATAAAAATTCATCCACAGTTTATGATGTAGTGGGAAAAAAAATCAACAGTGAACACAAATGGTTAAACAAAAGTTTAATTTTTCTGTCTAAAATCCCAGAATGCTGTTTTTCCAATGTCCCGCCGCTGACTGGCGGTGGTTGTGATAAGGACATTACAGTTCTTTAATCAAGATGTTATTGGCTGAGCCCAACAATGCCGATACAAAACTCCTTATCCCTCTCACTGAGTAGTTGCAATATTGCGGTTCAGTGCGTCCATCCATGGATATAAAATCATTCTAGAAAAGCCGGCTTGTGTTTCTTCCCACATAGCACGAGTTTGTAAGAGGAGGTAAAGTGTGGGGGAGGTGGTAATACTTAAAAGTACAATTGCAAAACCATGAAACTAATGTTCCCTGCTCATAAATATCAAAGTGTGACTGAATTTATTCCTTACGAACTGCTCAATCATTTAGAGTGTGTGAGGTCTTTTGAAACCCACACACATCTTTTCACGTTTCTTTTATTTATTTATTTTATTCTATCAACATTTGATCAATCCAGGAAATGGGAGTCCCTTTTCACCTGGCATTTTGAAAGGACAAAGGATGAGATCATGCAATAAATTGTTCCAATTCACTACTCAGAAGCAGCAGCAGCAGCCTTGCCCTAATGGTAGGTACTAATTGTAATGGCTTTAAAAGGAGGGAGAGTCAAACGCAAGACAAAGGAGACCAGGGTGAGGTTCCAAAGCCAAATTCTTTATCAAATATGCAGGTCATATGCAGGCAGGCGGCCAGGCCACATTTTTTACATGCAGATAAGTGCAGCAGGAAGGATAGAATATACAGGCTGGGATGAAGTTACATGACGAGAACACAACGGGGGAAAAAATACAGAAGAAAAATCTCACACAGTGAAGTCCGTCCTCTAGTGAGTGCTACACAGAAAAACAGAAGCAGAGAAAAGCAGAACAAAGAGCAGGAGTAAAACTGATACTGAAAATGGAGACGGTTACGCCTCAAATCTGCTTCACCCAGAAAGCCCATTTTATCCGAGACGTCAACTGAAATACGCACGCTGATTTTCGCATTTTTGTTTCTTTACACTTGAGCTGCCCACCTGCAAAGAAGAGATGTTGTTTTTTAGCTTTCTGCACTTGGCAGCTTTCTGCTCCACTTTCTCTAATTAAACACATATTTTCTCACCCTTCCTCTTCACTTTCTTACAATGTGGTCAACTTGTGAAGAGTACACTCACGGGTCAGCAGGATATGAGTTTTTGCTCTATTAAGAGCAACAGGTTGGACCACATTGGATGGGAATTGCAAGTAAAATGATGCTAGCCCAGGGTTTATCCTCAGTTCTCCAATCAAACTAAATTGGGATTATGAAATCTAAAATATTTTTGTTAACAGGATTAAGGCGTGGCCCTGAGTACATAACTGGATCCCCCTCAGATTCATGCTGCTTTCTTTTATGTTTACTTCTGTGTTGCTTCTTACAGTTACATGTTGAAGAAGAAATTAGTGGCTGAAATGCGTTCTTTTCTTCATAATGATCAAATCAAAGCAAAGCTGAATGTCTTCTCTCCCGGCAACTCTGTTTATGTGCCATTAAGACTAATTTCCTGCTTCTTTCTCTGTCTTTACAGCTACACTGGGAACCTTGGAATTCAGTTTGCTGTATGACCAGGAGAACAATGCACTGCACTGCACCATTAACAAAGCCAAGGTGAGCTACCAAGATGATGCTGATGATGATGACGATTACAAGATTTTGCAGTCTTTGCATGCACACTCGCAGTCGAGCGTCTCTGCTTTGTTGGTGTTTGCCTTGCATTTGGTTTATATTTAGATGAACAGATGATTCACTGCGCAGCCATCTGTCACTACTTTCTAACGAGGTTATAAAGGGCAGATCGATACAAACCAGCTGACATGTTTTCAGTATTTTCTCAGGTTCGGTAAGATAACTGTCGAGTTAAATATTTTTGAAGAAGCCGCCTCTCGTGTCAACCTACACATACTGGCAAAAAGGCTGTGGAATAGCAACTTAACACATCCCACTGTTAAAAAAAAGTGAAAGAGATACTTACAACTATTTTTATCCCAGAAGTATTTCTAAAGCATATTGCTAAAAACCAGATCATAAATGGTACCACGCCAATAAATGTCTTCTTCTTTTTTTTTTTCTGAAGTAATTTGCTACTATTCAGTCGATTAATGGGGATTTAGGCAGCTAAAGAGTCCGATATGTTTGTTATTGGTGGAGATCAAACCTACGGAGCCCCTCTGATGACATGGTCCAAAAAATAAATAAATTGTGGCCACAAAATACTACTTCGTGCGCACGTTATACTTATTTCGTGCCCTCGAAATAGTATTTCGTGGCCACAAATAAGTATTTCGTGGGCACGAAATGTATTTATTTATTTATTTATTTATTTATTTTTTATTTGCACAATTTATTTATTTTTTGGACCATGTCATCAGAGGGGCTCCGTACAAACCGGACCTGAATGGACAGCAACCGCTTGGTGGCCTTTAGTGTTAAAAAACCCCAACATATTAAAAAATGCTAATATTAGAGCAGACCTTTACTTTTTATTTCCTCCTATTCCTGGGTAAATTTTAATATGCTGCACTGTAAATCCTTTGTTTTCTGAGGTGCTCCCGTTTTTCTCATCTCATTTTCTTGCTGTTTGCTGGGAATGCAGATTTTACCTTCCACATCCAGCTGTTTTCCTGATAAATTCAGGGCATACCTTTAGGAGTTCATCATACTTGTCTCTCAATTGTTGGAAGTTTCTTAAATACTGCTTTTCTCACTAATTAACTCCTGTGTCTTTCCATTGAGCTTCCGTCAATTCCGCTCAACTCTTCCTACAGATTTTCCAAATGACCGATTAATTTTTTTGTTCTTAATTACTAAATTTTTGATTACATTTAACACATCCCTAAAAATCTTTATATCGTGTATCTCTATAGCCTTGTATTTTCTTGTATATTAATGTTGTAGCTGTAAGAATGCTGTGCAAATGCTTGCAGGGACCGCCGCAGTGGCATTGATAAATTTTTCAATAACTACATAATTACCAAACATAGCATACTGAGATAAACCAAATCTCATTTTTAATAAAAGCACCATTTTTGTCTGATGTATAAAGGTTGAGCGAAGAGGTGTCGTCCTCGCTCGATCCCTTGCTTGTGGTTGTTGTGATGAAGTGATGATTTTGACAGCCATGGCTGCCGTCAGCAGCTATAACTCTTCCTATCTGTCTGTGTGAATAGCTGGTATGGAGGAAAGTGGGCATCAGAGGAGCCTGTCTTGGCGGGAGTGTTGGACAGCAGAGTGGGCATCAGGCCATCTTGATTTATGGTGTTTATTTTCTATACCGCTCGGCTCCTAGGCTTCAGCTGCCGACCAGCCAAGCAGAGGAAACGATTTTTCTCCCTTGAATAGTGTATATAGCAATTTCCATGATTTAATTTGTTTTCTAAACCCCTTACTGATCCTTCTAACCACAGATTGTTTTGTTGGGTTTTCTGCCAAAGCTTCAAGCTTCAAGCTTCAATAGCAACTTCAGCTTCAGCCTCAATTGAGGATTTGTCTAATGAGATGTTATGGATTGTGGCTTATTGAAGATTAGGAGATTCATACAAAATCAACACTGGGAAACTTTCTTAAACTTCTGTGGATTGATGTTGGTGGCTAAAGAGGCAGAGTGCAGCAGGCACAGGTTTTTTTTTTCTTCTGTGTAGCCGTGACAGCGCACGTGACAGTGCCTATTATCACAGACGAGCTGGCATTTGGTCAGAAAAATAAATGCCATTCATTGCCGAAGCTGACAAAAGGTCACCTGACAACATGACACAAATAAACAAAACAGGTTGAAGAAAGTGGAAAAGGCTGCTGATCAGATAATTATTCTAACATGGCAAAAGATCTGAATTTAACTGGTATAAAAAGGCTTTTGTAGAGGAACAGATCAAATGTAGAAAATTCAGAAGGGCTCTACCTGCTCAACTACTCTTAATCACATTGAACCTCTCAAGAGAGGAAAACAAAGGAGGCTGAAGTAGAGCCAAAGAACCTGATGCACATAAAAGATCAGTACTGTAGAGTCGAACTGTGAAACTGTTTACAATTTCATCCTGTGTGCACTACAGAGGCATTTCTAAAGGATTCTCACTTAGTTTTAAAGAGAGTGGTACATTCTCTGGGTTTTTATCAGCTTCAAATTATATCCTCAAATTTAATTTAATTTAATTGGCAAACTACAAGCTGTTAGCCAATGAGCATGTGGTTTCACAGTCAGACCATCCCTTCTTTGTCGCCCGAGGCTTAAGAATGAGACATCAGAAACCAATGGGTGAGCTCACAGTAGCTGCATCCATATTTTATATTATCTATGGTCATTAACCAGTGCAGATAAACTTGATAACCCTCCTTTCCCAAACACAGAATTAAGCAGAATTTACAAAATTGGCTGGATTTTATTCAGTGCAATCCAAACCGAGTGACTGGGTCCATGAACTCATCATGAAAGTGCTTATGGAAGTCAAAGTCAAGTTCAAGAGCCGTTTTCCTTTAGACTTTGACAGGACCAGAAGTCTTTTGCAGCCAAAGCAGCCACAGTTTCAAAGCAGGCCTTATTCCAGAAATTTGTTCTCTGAAATTGTTGTAATTCTATCCAACTCAGAGTAGCAGGGGAAGGGCTAGAGCTCATCCCAGCTGTCATAGTGTCACACACTCACACCTTCAGTCAATTTAGAAATACCAGTTAATCTAGCATGCATGTCTTTGACTGTGAGAGGAAGCTGTGTTACCCATGCAGGCACAGGGAGAACAAGGAAGCTCTGCACGGAAAAGCCCCGGCAGGCTGGTGGATTTGAACCCTGCACTGTCTGTGCTGTCTTCATAGCTCCTCATAGCTTTTTTGATTAGAGAGGCCTCGCCCTGCAGCTCAATCAGCAGACGGAAACCTTCCCACAGCATTTTAAGATATTATTCACTTACCCAGCACAAAAGCAACAAAACGCTATCTGCATAATTTCCCATCCATTAAGTCACTAATCATTACCATGGCATTTTTTCCTATCTCCTCACGCTCCTATCACAAAGCAAATAATATATCATCTTCAGTCACTTGTTTTCTGGGACTCAAAAAGGATGAATGAGTTATCCACTGTACCTCCACTGCACAGAAAGAAGTTACCACGCAGTGTGAAGTTCCTTTTTCTACTAATTAATTCACTCATTAATGCTTATAGAGGCTGTTGCAGAGCCGTTTTCAGTTAAACTGTACACATAATATAAGAGGTCTGTGGGTTTCTTGGCCGCTACACATAGTAATCTACTTTTAATTTGTAAGTGGAACTGAAAGGCTCTGAACCAAGCAATAAGTATGAAGGTAATAGGACACAAAAGCCCACAGACTCTCTCTTATTAACATTTAATTAAATTCTCGCCGTGACATGTCAACAAGAAGAGAGCCAGACCTATTTGATAGGATTACCTTTATGAAAGCTACTTTTACAAGGCAAAATTACTGTGATTAAAAACCTTTTTCTCTCTCTTTTTTTTTATACCATTGAAGAAAAAAAAAAAAACACTGATCTTTTGGCATTACGCCTTGAATCTTCAGACTGTTAATAAAACCATGTGTGAGTTCACCTTTCTGATTTCTATCATGTTGAAGTGAACTTAATTTCCATATGGCAGGCATGTCACTAAGCAAAAGGGGAGGGAAACTAGCACTTACTCAAACCAGAGATGTGCTGACTTCAAATAGTATTTCCATTAAGTTCCAGGTATAGATACAGACGTTATAGCAAGAAGCAATGATGACTCTCTGGGCTGTTATTGGTTGGTTATTGATTTTATAAAGACCTGTAGCCCTTCTAAACGAGGGAAATTCATCTACTGTCAACCATATGTTAGACTTCTTTGTACTGTTGGCCATCAGTTATGGATATATTTGTCAAATTTCTTACACCGAACTGGAAGTTTTACAAGGTTTTCACAAGGTAACTTTCACGTCATCAGCAAAGCATCAAACCTCTAACCCACTGCAGGTTTAACCTTTCCTACGCATGAGCAAAGCTACACAACAGCTGTGTCCCAATTCCTAGGCCGCATCGTTGGTAGGCCACTATTAAAGGCCGATTGCATCACAGCCAGGCGACGAAGGCTGTCCAAATTCGAAGGCTGCTCCAAATGCGGCCGACAAATGCGTCCTTCATTTCCCCGGATTTGAAGGATGGGCCGGGTGTATCCTTCTTGGCCCAACCTATCCCAGAATTCATAGCGTGGCCCAGCCAATTCCAGTTTCCAATAATGGCGGCAGCTACTTAGTTTTATCTGCTCCATTTATCAAGAGATCACATAATTGCAATAGCGCTCCGACGTTTTCAGAGACGTCTGGATGGTCAAGGCTCACTATAGCCGGCGAGAACACGGGACTCCCGGGACGTCATTTTCAGACCCCCCGCAGTCTTTTGCTACTCAGGTTAAACATGATATATAAGCCACTTAGATAATTACAAATGTTATTGTTTGGCTTTTTTCAGTGTTTTATTTGTTCCTCAGTAAATCGGTTTGGCTGAGATTAAAGTTATAGTTTTCACACAGCTGAATAAATGTTGAACAGAAAACCGATTAAACAGAAGTGTGAGATGTTCGAGACTTTACGCCGGTGTCCTGTTATATTTTAGATAGCAAGGAGCAGA